TTTTAAAGACAGAGTTACAGAGAGAGAGAGAGAGAGGTCTTCCATACGCTGGTTCACTTTCCAAATGACCACAATGACCAGAGCTGAGCTGACCTGAAGCCAAAAGTCAGGAGTTTCTACTGAGTCTCCCATGAGGATGCAGGGGCCCAAGGAGTTGGGCCATCTTCTACTGCTTTCCCAGGCCATAGCAGAGAGCTGGATCAGAAGAGGAGCAGCTGGGACTCAAACTGGCACCCATATGGGATGCTGGCACTACAGGCTGGGGCTTTAACCTACAGCACCATACCACCAGCCCCTACTCCACTGCACCCATGTGGGAGACCCAGAAGAAGCTCCAGGCTCCTGGCTTCAGATCAGCCCAGTTCCAGCCATTGTGGCCATTTGGGGAGTGAACCAGCAGGTGGAAGACTTTCCCCCTCTCTCTTTCTTTCTCTCTCTCTCTCTCTGCCTCTCTGTAACTCTGCCTTTCAAATAAATACCTATTAAAAAAAAAAAAAAGAAAAGAAAAAGGAGAAGGAGGAAAAGGAGAGGGAGGGGCAGGGGGAGGAGGAGGAGGAGAAGGAGGAGGACAGTGTTTAGCTTGGCAGAGTCCTCTACCCAGTCAAGAAATGAAAAGCACAAGAAAGGAGCATGTATTCAAGCTTTTCTTACTCTATCTTGGAATGCAGGCAAGACCATGGTTCAGAGAAGCTCGCACTACTGTCTATCCCTGAAATTACTCCTGGGTCAACAGTTAATAATAGTGATAATAATTATCCCTTATTGAGTACTAACTCAGGTCCAGGTACTTTGTTGTTGTTGTTGTTGTTGTTGTTTTAAGATTCTATTTATTTATTTGAGAGGTAGAGTTACAGACAATGAGAGGAAGAAACAGAGAGAAAGGTCTTCCTTCTGTTGGTTCACTCCCCAAATGGCCGCAGCAGACAGAGCTATGCTGATCTGAAGCCAGGAGCCAGGTGCTTCTTCCCAGTCTCCCACATGGGTGCAGGGGCCCAAGGACCTGGGCCATCCTCCACTGCTTTCCCAGGCCACAGCAGAGAGCTGGACTGGAAGAGGAGCAGCCGGGACTAGTACCAGCACCCATATGGGATGCGGGCGCCGCAGGTGGAGGACTAACCTACTGTACCACAGAGCCAGCCCCTGGTACTTTGTATGTTATTTATTTATCTCTGTTCTCACAATCATCCTATTAGGAAGATGGCAATAGTGACCCTATTTTGAAATACTGAAGCCTAGAGAAATTAAGTAATTTGTCTAAACTGACACATACAAGAAGTTATAAGTAGTGTTAAAAACTGGACATTTGCCTTCGAGAACCCACATTCACAATCACCCTATAAAGAAATAATACACTAACAGCAAAAAGCTTCATAGAGGAAGAATTAGTTGCAGATATCTGTAAAATCCAGTAACGGGGGGCCAGGGTTGTGGTGCAGCAGTTTAAGCTGCCACTTGGAACGCCTGCATCCCGTGTGGACACCGTTGGAGTTCTAGATGCTTCACTTCTGATCCAGCTCCCTACTAATGTGCCTGGGAGAGCAACAGAGGATGACACAAGTACTTGGAACCCACCATCCATGTGGAAGACTAGGGTGGAGTTCCTGGCTCCTGGCTCCAGCTTGGGTATAACTTAAATTCTCAACAATCCAATACAAAATAGGTTTAATAAATTGCAGTGTGTCCACCCCATCCATAAAAAGGGAAAGGGTAGTGCCTGTAGAAACAAGGGCAATACTTATGAGCTTCTGTCGCAGTGGATATTAGTTGTTGGATGAATGAATAAGCCCTGCCTTTTCCAATAGCTGGCCTTCCTAAATGAGGATCAGCTGCCACTCCTATACCCAGCACCAAGCCCACTCTTCCCATGCATAGAGTTTCCCCCAAGTGATTGTGGGCAATGAAATCTCTTCACTGAGTGATCCAAGGCAAATAACTCCACAAAAGTTGGGATCCATCTAAGCTGAGACTTTGCCCTTGGGAATCTGCCTTAAGGACAAAGCTTTGATAGCATCATCTGTCTGCAAAATATTGAAAAGATGTCTACAAGGTAGTACACAAAAAATTTAAACAGTTGCAAAGGATTGATCCTCCAGGGAAGTGGTTCTGGGACTTGGATCCAGGCACTGCAACACAGGATGCGGGTGTCCCAGTCAGTGTCTTCACCATTGCACTGAATGTCTGCTCCAAGAACAGCAGATATCTTGAGGTGAGCACCTGCATGGTAGGTTCATGGAATAGCAGAGACCAGTGTGTTGGAGCTCAGCGGGTGAGGGAGAAGTAGGTGAGTGATGCGGCCAGAGACAAGCGGCTGAAGGGTAGGAGCAGATAAGGTAGAGCCTTTCAGACCGTCATAAAGACATTGGATTTTTTTAAAAAAAGATTTTATTTATTTATCGGAGAGGTCGGGTTACAGACAGTGAGAGGGAGAGAGAGAAAGGTCTTCCATCCACTGGGTCACTCCCCAAATGGCTGCAATGGCTGACCAAGAACCAGGAGCTTCTTCCGGGTCTCCCAGGCGGGTGCAGGGGCCCAAGTGCTTGAACCATCTTCTGCTGCCATAGCAGAGAGCTGGATCGGAAGAGGAGCAGCCAGGATTTGAATTGGCTTCCTTATGGAATGCTGGTGCTGCAGGTGGAGGATTAACCTACTGTGCCGGCTTCAAAGACATTGGACTTTATTCTGAGTGTGAGATGGGAGCTTTCTGGAACTTTGAGAAGAAATACAATGATTTGATTCACATTTTCTGAAAACCATTCTGGTTGCTTATGGAGAACAAATTGTAGGGTCCTGTAGTGGAAGAAAGAACACTGGTCAGAGGGCTTTTGGAGTAACTCAGGTAGAAATGACAAAGATGGCAGCTGTGAGATCATGAGAAGTGGTTAGATTCCAAATGCATTTTACTAATGGGATTGGATGCATAGAATGAGAGACAGAGAGAAGCCAAGAAAGACTCCAGAGTGTTTGTTCTGAACAACTGGTGAATGGTGATGTCATTTCTAGATGCTGGAAGCCCTGGGAGAGAAAGAAAAGTTGGGAGGCCTTGGGCAGTGCTCTGTGGTGTGGAGGGTCATGAGCCAGAGTCCATCTGTAGACATGTTAACTTTGAGATGAGTGTTAAACGAGCAATACAAAGGGCTTTTAAATTATTCTTCTGATATCTAATGTTTTCTTTCTTCTTTTTTTAAGATTTTATTTATTTATTTGAGAGGTAGAGTTACAGACAGTGAGAGGGAGAAACAGAGAGAAAGGTCTTCCTTCCGTTGGTTCACTCCCCAAATAGCCGCACTGGCCGGAGCTGCGCCGATCCAAAGCCAGGAGCCAGATGCTTTTTCCTGCTCTCCCACATGGGTGCAGGGGCCCAAGCACTTGGGCCATCTTCCCTTGCTATCCCAGGCCATAGTAGAGAGCAGGATCAGAAGAGGAGCAACTGGGAATAGAACCAACACCCATATGGGGTGCTGGCGCCACAGGCGGAAGATTAACCTACTGTACCATGGCGCCGGCCCCTTGATGTTTTCATGTTAAATAATATTAATATAAAAAGAATAGTTTCAATGTAGTTCATAGATACAGTTCTAGAATTTAATAATATTCCCTCCCTCCCTCCTTCCCACCCTCTCTCTCTTCTTTCTTTCCTTCCTTCCTTCCTTCTTTCTTTTTAGTTTTGAGGTGACATTTTAAATTTACATTACAGTCAAGGGCTTAATGCTCCTCTAAATAAAGAGTTCAACAAGTAAAATGTAAAAAGACCCTAGTCCAGTGGGAATATAGACAAGGGCTATAAACAATCATCAACGGGAAAGACGACCATTTCACCCATATACAGTAAACTTTAAAATCATCACAGATCATTAAAACCATAGTACTATAACATTTTTTTTAACTTTTATTTAATGAATATAAATTTCCAAAGTACGATTTATGGGTTACAATGGCTTCACCCCATACCGTCCCACCCACAGCCCTCCCCTTTCCCACTCCCTCTCCCCTTCCATTCACATCAAGATTCATTTTCGATTATCTTAATATACAGAAGATCAGCTTAGTATACATTAAGTAAGGATTTCAACAGTTTGCTCCCACACAGAAACATAAAGTGAGGAATAATAGATGATTTTTTTAAAATGATGATGAAATCAGATCAGACCTATTGTCATGTTTAATCCCAGTGAGAGTCAAGTTGGGAGTTGATAGTTCTCTTTTCTTTTCTTTTTTTAGGATCAGTTTAGTATGCATTAAGAGAGGATCAGTTTAGTATGCATTAAGTAAAGATTTCAACAGTTTGCACCCCCATAGAAACACAAAGTGAAATATATTATTTGAGTACTCGTTATAGCATTAAATCTCAATGCACAGCACATTAAGGACAGAGATCCTACATGAGGAGTAAGTGCACAGTGACTCCTGTTGTTGACTTTACCAATTGACACTCCTGTCTATGGCATCAGTAATCTCCCTATGCTCCAGTCATGAGTTTCCAAGGCTATGGAAGCCCCTTGAGTTCTCCGACTCTTATCTTGTTTAGACAAGGTCATAGTCAAAGTGGAGGTTCTCTCCTCCCTTCAGAGAAAGGTACCTCCTTCTTTGAAGACCTGTTCTTTCCACTGAGATCTCACTCACAGAGATCTTTTGCCAGAGTGTCTTGGCTTTCCATGCCTGAAATACTCTCATGGGCTTTTCAGCCAGATCCGAATGCCTTTAGGGCTGATTCTGAGGCCAGAGTGCTATTTAGGACATCTGCCATTCTATGAGTCTGCTGGGTATCTCACTTCCCATGTTGGATCACTCTCCCCTTTATTTATTCTATCGGTTAGTGTTAGCAGGTACTAGACTTGTTTATGTGCTCCCTTTGACTCTTAGTCCTTTCATTATGATCAATTGTGAACTGAAATTGATCACTTGGAATAGTGAGATGGCATTGGTACATGCCACCTTGATGGGATTAAATTGGAGTCCCCTGGTATGTTTCTAATTCTACCATTTGGGGCAAGTCAGCTTGAGCATGTCCCAAATTATATATCTCTTCCCTCTCTTATTCCTACTCTTATGTTTAACAGGCATCACATTTCAGTTAAATTTCAACACTTAAGAATAACTGTGTATTAATTACAGAATTAAACCAGTCATATTAAGTAGAACAGACAAAACAACTACTAAGAGGGATAATGTATTAAGTTGTTCATTAACAGTCAGGGCTATGCTGATCAAATCACCGTTTCCCATAGTGTCCACCTCACTCCAACAGGTTTCCCTCTTGGTGTTCAGTCAGTCGTCACCGATCAGGGAGAACATATGGTATTTGTCCCTTTGGGACTGGCTTATTTCACTCAGCATGATGTGTTCCAGATTCCTCCATTTTGTTGCAAATGACTGGATTTCGTTGTTTCTTACTGCGGTATAGTATTCTAAAGAGTACATATCCCATAATTTCTTTATCCAGTCTACCGTTGATGGGCATTTAGGTCGGTTCCAGGTCTTAGCTATTGTGAATTGAGCTGCAATAAACATTAGGCTGCAGACCGCTTTTTTGTTTGCCAATTTAAATTCCTTTGGGTAAATTCCAAGGAGTGGGATGGCTGGGTCGAACGGTAGGGTTATCTTCAGGTTTCTGAGGGATCTCCAGACTGACTTCCATAGTGGCTTGACCAGTTTGCATTCCCACCAACAGTGGGTTAGTGTCCCTTTTTCCCCACATCCTCGCCAGCATCTGTTGTTGGTAGATTTCTGAATGTGAGCCATTCTAACCGGGGTGAGGTGGAACCTCATTGTGGTTTTGATTTGCATTTCCCTGATTGCTAATGACCTTGAACATTTTTTCATGTGCCTGTTAGCCATTTGGATTTTCTCTTTTGAAAAACTATAACATTTTTTTAAGTCAGAGTTACACTGAGAGAGGAAGAGACACAGAGAGAGAGATCTTCCATCTGGTGGTTCACCCCCAAGATAGCCACAATACCCCGGGGCCAGGCTCAAGCCAGAAGCAGGAGCTTCATCCAGGTCTCTCACATGGGTGGCAGAGGCCCAGGCACTTGGGCCGTGTTCTGCTGCTTTACCCAGGCCATTAGCAGGGAACTGGATCAGAAGTGGAGCTGCCAGGACTTGAACTGAGCTGTGGGATCTGACTTACTCCAGGAATAGAAAGTCAGAATTGAGTTGAATTATAGAACAATCTTTGGTGTCTGCTGGAGAATTGATGTGTGGGAAAAAAACCCCACAAGTCTGGTTTCTGAAGTGTTCTTCACACTGTGTTAAGCATGAGAAATGAAGAGCATTTCGGTTTTTCTCAAACACCGCTCTAGTGGGTTTGAGGTAATACCACGTTGTGGTTTTGATCTGTATTTCCCTAATGATTAGTGATGTTGAGTATCTTTTCATGGGCTGATTCACCATTTGGTTATCTTCTTTAGAGAAGTGTCTGTTTAAGCTCTTTACCCATTAGCACTTCTTAATTTTCTAAATGTAAATTCATAAGTTATATACTTTGCCCACTTCTGAATTGGGTTGCTTTGTTGTTACTGTTGTTAAGCTTTAAGAGTTCTCTTTATTTTGTGGCTATTAATCCTTTATCAGACATATAATTTCCAAAAAAATTTCTCACATTCTGGGGGTTGCATTTTTACCCTGTTGACAGTGTCCCTGATACACAAAATGTTTTAATCTTCTTGAAATCAGGTTTGCTTATTTTTTCTTTTGTTGCCTATGTCCTTGGTATTGTATCCAAGACATCACTGCCTAATCCAATGTTGTCAAGTTTTGCCCTTGGTTTTCTTGTCAGACTTTGAGTTAATTTTTGAATATGGTGTTAAGTAAGGGTTTGACCTCATTGTTTTGCATGTGACTATTCAGTGTCCTCAGAACTATTTGTTGAAAAGATTAAACTTTTTCCATTGACTCGTTGCTGACAGTCATTTGATCATATATGCAAAGGTTCATTTCTAGACACACTATACTATCCCATTGGTCTATGCATCTATCTTAATGCCAGCACCACATTGCTTTAACTTCTATAGCTTCGCCATCAGTTTTGAAATTAGGAACTACAAGTCCCCCAGCCTCGTTCTTTTTCAGGACTGTTTTGGCTACTCAGAATTCCTTGAGATTCCATATTAATTTTAGGATATACCTTTTCTAATTACACAAAAAAGTTCTTGGGATTGTGATGGGGATCTGTGGTTCTCTTTGGAAACTGTTGACATCTTAACATTAAGCTTTCCGATCCATGAATGTGGGTTATCTTTCTGTTTATTTATGCCTGCTTTAATTTCTTTTAGAAATGTTTCATAGTTTTCATTGTACAAGTCTCTTATCTCTTCAGATAATTCCTCTCAATTCCTGTTTTATTCTTTTTTTAAATTTTTTTTTATTTATTTTATTTTTTTTGACAGGCAGAGTGGACAGTGAGAGAGAGAGACAGAGAGAAAGGTCTTCCTTTGCCATTGGTTCACCCTCCAATGGCCGCCACGGCCGGCACGCTGCAGCCAGTGCACCGCGCTGATCTGATGGCAGGAGCCAGGTACTTATCCTGGTCTCCCATGGGGTGCAGGGCCCAAGTACTTGGGTCATCCTCCACTGCACTTCCCTGGCCACAGTAGAGAGCTGGCCTGGAAGAGGGGCAACCGGGACAGAATCCGGCGCCCCGACCGGGACTAGAACCCGGTGTGCCAGCGCCGCAAGGCGGAGGATTAGCCTAGTGAGCCACGGTGCCGGCTGTTTTATTCTTTTTAAATTAATTAATAAATTTTTATTTGAAAGATAGAAATAAACAAAGGCAGAGATACTTATCCCAACTGCTGGTTCACTTTCCAAATGTCCACAATAGCCAAGGCTGGGCCAGGCCAAAGCCAGAGCCCAGAATACAATCTCTGTCTCCTACATGGGTGGCAGGGACACGACTACTTGACTGTTCACCTGCTGTCTCCCAAGGTGGGGATTAGCAGGAAGCTGGATCAGAAAAGGAGTTGGGAGCTGGCATTGTGGCACAGGTTAAGCCACTACCTGCAATGGCAGCATCCCATATAAGAGCACCAGTTCAAGTTCCAGCTGTTCTGCTTTTGACCCAGCTCGCTGTTAATGAGCCTGGGAAAGTAGTGGAAGGTGGTCCAAGTATGTGGGCCCCTGCTGATGGAAACACTGAAGCACCTATTGAAGCCAAGTTTCTGAATCAGTCTGTGCCAATCGGAGCAGATATGGCAAGAGCAAGAACCCTGGCTGAATTTTCTGAGTGGCCCCAAGAGAACTGCAGGTGACCTATCTTGCTTTCTAGGATACAACAAAGGAAAAGGCTTTCTCTTAATTTTTGTGTAGAAAGAAATTGTTTTTGAGAGACAGAGAACATCTGCTTGTTCACTCCCTTATTGCCCGCAGTGCTCAGAACAGGGCCAGGCTGAATCCAGGTCTCCCACATTGGTGGCAAGAACGCAGCGACTTGGTCATTGCTGTTTCCTGGGGCCTGCATTGGCAGGAAGCTGAAGCCAGGAGCTGGAGTCAGGTACCAAATCCAGACACTGCTGTATGGGGGTGGGCATCTTAGCCAGGGTCTTAACTGTTAGATGAGATTCCATCCCCTCTTGTGTTTTTCACAGAAACATTTGTAGACATACATTTCTCCTTTTGTATTTTGTGGTTTCATAATGTGCTTTCCCAGGCATGTTAGCAGGGAGCTGGATCAGAAGTGGAGCAGCTGGGACTTGAACTGGCGCCCATAAGGGATGTGAGTGCTGCAGGCGGCAGCTTTACCGGCTATGCCACAGCACCGGCCCCATGTTACTGATTTCTAACTTGAGCTTGTTGTGGTCAGAGAAGATACTTTGTATAATACCTATCTTTCAAAGTTTAATGGGACTTAATTTGTGGCCTCTAAAAATATTCCCTAGTATATAATTGGGTGAATTGCCATCAGCTGATCTGAAATAGTCACCCACCAACTGAAGAACCCAGTATTTTTCTTCGACAGGCTTATATGCTAATCACAGTTTGGATGCAGCCAGGGGAAGCGTGTCAAAGCGAAGGAGACAGCGTGGGGAAATTGTCTGGCTCGCGGTGATTCACCTGGTGACCTCATATCTGTGATCTTCAGGCTGGGCGTGGCAACTGCCCCTAGTCATCTTCCCATACGCACTCCAACTCCTGACTGTTTTATGGCTCTCTTATGTTCTTTATCTCCTGGGTGTGCACCTCTATGTTTGAGAGGACTGTGTTAAGCCACAGAGCCCTCTTGGCCATGTGGATGAGGAGCTAGGAGGGCCTGGAGGTGTAGGAATTCCTGGCAGCAACCCTGAACCGATGGTGGTGGGTGCGGGGACATTTAAATACTCCAGCGTTTTCCCTCCAGTTTGGACAAGTGTGAGAGGTTCCTGCAACAGTCTACAGGAGTACCCTGCGGGCTTGAGCCAGTGTCATGTTCTGTGGGACTTGGTCTGATGTGGCTTCCTTCCATTTCCAGTTGTACTGCTTTACTCCTCAGGATGCCTTCTAACAGCCACTGACATGGGAATCTATCTCAAGACATGCTCTTGGGAAGTCTACGCTAAAGCACCAGAGAGCATTAGTTCCCGGTTAAGAGAGTGGCCCAGTCCAAACACTCATAGCTTCTCCCCTAAGAACTGCAGACGTCACCAAGAGACACAGAGGCGGACCCATGTCCCCTGAGAACATTCACAAACTGCAGCTCTGGGATGTCACAACTGCCTTTCCCCACATCTGACTGCTGAGTCCTCCAGTCACATCTGAGCCACCACAGCACCTCCCCAGCCACTCTGCTCTTTAACATCTGTTGGCCAGATTTGATTTCAAAGTCAGGTGAGCATCTCATTGGAGGAACAGATAGAAGGAGTCTGAATGAAAATTAGAAGGAGGGACTTCCAGACTGTACTGCAGAGATATTCCAGGTCATGTTATATGGAGTCTAGCAGACCAGGTTACATACATTTTTCTTTTTTTCTTTTTTTTTTTTAAGATTTATATGATGGCCGGCACCGCAGCTCACTAGGCTAATCCTCCGCCTGCGGAGCTGGCACCCCGGGTTCTAGTCCCGGTTGGGGCACCGGATTCTGTCCCGGTTGCTCCTTTTCCAGTCCAGTTCTCTGCTGTGGCCCGGGAGGGCAGTGGAGGATGGTCCAAGTGCTTGGGCCCTGCACTCGCATGGGAGAGCAGGAGGAAACACTTGGCTCCTGGCTTCGAATCGGCACAGCACACTGGCTGTAACAGCCGTTTGGGGAGTGAACCAACGGAAGGAAGACCTTTCTCTCTGTCTCTCTCTCTCACTAACTCTGCCTGTCAAAAAAAAAAAAAAAAAAAAAAAGCCGGCGCCATAATCCTCCTCCTGCGGTGCCGGCACCCCAGGTTCTAGTCCTGGTCAGGGCGCCGGGTTCTGTCCCAGTTGCTCCTCTTCCAATCCAGCTCTCTGCTGTGGCCCAGGAAGGCAGTGGAGGATGGCCCAAGTCCTTGGGCCCTGCACCTGCATCAGAGACCAGGGGGAAGCACCTGACTCCTGGCTTTGAATCAGCGCAGCGCCAACCGCAACGTGCCGGCCGCAGCAGTCATTGGAGGGTGAATCAACAGAAAAGGAAGACCTTTCTCTCTGTCTCTCTCTCTCACTGTCTAAATCTGCCTATCAAAAAAAAAAAAAAAAGGAAAAAGAAAAAAAAGATTTATTTGAAAGACAGAGTTACACATAGAGAGAAGCAGATGCAGAGAGAGAGGTCTTCCATCTGGTTCACTCCCCAACTGGCCACAATGGCTGGAGCTGAGCCGATCTGAAGCCAGGAGCCAAGAGCTTCTTTCAGGTCTCCCACGTGAGTGCAAGAGCCCAAGAACCTGGCCATCTTGTACTGCTTTCCCAGGCCATAGCAGAGATCTGATTGGAAATGGAGTAGCTGGGACCCAAACTGGTACCCATATGGGATGCCAGCACTGCAGGCGGCAGCTCAACCCGCTATGCCGCAGTATCAGCCCCATACATTAGTCTTACTTTGAAATACCTTGGAGAGGGGCTGGAGTTGTGCTGTAGCTGGCTAAGGCTCTGATGACTGCAGAGCTATCTCATACAGGTTCTCATCCAGGCTGCTCCACTTTCGAGCCAACTCCCTGTTAATGAGCCTAGAAAAGCACTCGAAGATGGCTCAAGTGCTTAGGCCCCTGTACCCATGTGGGAGACTCAGAAGAAGCTCCTGGCTCCTAGCTTCTGCCTGGCCCAGCTCTAGCCAATGTAGCTGTTTGGGATGTGAACCAGTGAATGCAAGATCTCTCTCTTTCTCTCTTTTTCTGTCTCTCCTCCTCTCTGTAATTCTGCCTTTCAAATATTTTTTTTTTAATTTTAAATTTAAAGAAAAAAGAAGAAATACACTGGAGATAATGGAAGATTTTTGGATACAGGAATACTGTGACCTGTTTGTGTTTTTAACCTTTCAGAGGCTTAACGTTCCTACTGTTTTCCTACTGTGCTAGAGGCTGCAGAGCTGCTGCCTGGCCTCCTTCGGACCTCCCACACTGTCCCCGGATGAGAGTCTGGACTGGTGGCCTTTGAAAGATTTGCGCATCTGCCATGGCTGCCTCTGATACTCATCCAATTAGCAAGTAAGGATTCGTTGAGCATCATGTTTGTCCCAGCTCCTCTGCACCCTGAATTAGACCCAGCCTCTGCTCTCAAGAACCTGCTGGTCTGCAGCAGATGATAGACAGTGCATACGCTGAGCACGGGAGGCTGAGGGCGGTCACAGGAAAGAGGTGAGGCTTGAGCCGAGTCTTAGCAGACATAGGAAGCTCTTCTCAGAGCAGTCTTTTAAATCAGCAAAAGGAGGTTTAGTCTAGTTACCAGGTCATCCAGTCAAGCCTTGCATTAAAACATAACAAATGCAACAGGGACAATTGTGCCTTCGTTCCTCCATCCTTATAAGGGTATCTGGTGCTGGTATCTTTTGTCTGATATCTTAAATATGAGAATGGCCCTCTAAAGGCAGTGGGGATTGGCCTGGGGAGGATTGCTGGAGAGAATACTTAATCTGGCAGAACACAAGGTGTCCTGGGACCCACCACCCACACAGCCTGGAAGAAACCTGTGTGGTGTGCTCTTCCTGCTCACCCAGAGCCCGTTGTTAAGGGACAAGCCTTTTAGAAAAATACACACGCAGGGCCCTCTCTGTAAGAATGTGCGTGGGGGCAACCAAGCGCCCAGGGAAGAAAAAAAAAACAAAGACAAACCAGGTTCCCCTGTAAAGGAATGAGATTTGTCATCATTAACAATAGTTGTTGAAAAAGCTGTGAGGGATTAAGTGTATGACTCTAGAATTGTTAAAGAAAAGTAAATTAGATACTAGCTAAGAGCAGTAAAGAAAGTTTTTTTTTCCTTAAAGATTTATTTTTATTTATTTATTTGTGTATTTATTTGAGTTACATAGAGAGAAGGAGAGACAGAGAGAGAAACAGATCTTCCATCGATGGTTCACTTCCTAAATGGCTGTAACAGCCAGGACTGGGTCAGGTGAATCCGGAAGCCAGGAGCTTCATCCGGGGGTCTTCCAGGTCTGTGACAAGGGCCCAAGGATTTGGGCCATCTTCTGCTGCTTTTCCCAGGCCCTTAACAGGGAGCTGGATCAGAAGTGGAGCAGCCAGAACATGCTGGCCACAGTGCTGGTGCCCAAGGGATCTTATTTAGTGTTACTGCAGAAGCAGAGATCGGCTCAGGAAAACTGAGCCAGACTCAATACAGCAAAGACAACTGGGGATTTATAGCCAACAAACAGGGTGAATGGAGAGTGGATGAGAAATTGCTAAGAGGAGATATCAGGACCAGGGAGACTCTTAGTAAGTTGGCCTAACTGGGTTCTTGCTAAAGGTAAGTGAAAGACCTGGGCATCAAGGGTAGGGAGTGATGATCCTGAGCAGATAACAACCATAACTAGATATCAAGGGTGGGAGAATTCTCAGTAAATTGACTTGGCAGAATTCTTGCTCTAAAACAAGGCAAAGCAGGGTAAGGACAGGGCTCCTCCTCCTGGAGGAACCTCCCAGAAGTTTGCTAGGAGGGTGTCTTGGTCAGGATTCTATACCTACCCAAACAAATCAAGTAAGAGGACAATGCCAGAGAAATGTCCTAACTCAAAATGTTTGATACCACATGCTCTACATGGAAAATCACTCAGAGGTATACTTCAGGAAAATGAAACTGGAATCTAACAACTAGGATCATACTGGGTATAATAGAGGTCCATGACCAAAGTGGGAAAAGCTTGGGGAAAAAAAATGATCCACTCAGTTCTTGATGCATGGAAGGTTCCTTCCTGAGTTCCCAAGTTTTAATGACATAGGAACATATTTCCATCACTGAGGTCGAATCACACTACTTGCTTCCACAGTAAGCATACACAGGGGCAGGCCTTTAGTGCAGCCTCTGGGGCACTGCTCGGGAAACCCACGTCCCCTGTTGGCGTCCCTAGGTTTGAGTCCAGGCTCTGCTTCTGATCCTGCTTCCTGCTAAAGCCACCCTGGGAGGCAGCAGGTGATAACTGAAATAGCTGGGTCCCTGCCACCCACATGGAGGACCTCGATAAGAGTTCTAGGTTCCTGGCTCTGGCCAGGCCCAGCCCTGGCTATTGGCTATGTGGCATTTGGGGAGTAACTAGTGGATGGAATAGCTTTCTCTCTCTCTGCCTTTTAAATAATTTAATTTAATTAAAAGCAGACAAAAACATATAGAATGTGTAGTACAGTTTGGATTTTTAATTTTCTGTCAATCTATGTATAAAATTAAGCTTTAATTCAATAACAGAAAATGATATAAATATTATACATTTTTGCGGCGCCGGCACACCGGGTTCTAGTCCCGGTCGGGGTGCCGGATTCTGTCCCGGTTGCCCCTCTTCCAGGCCAGCTCTCTGCTATGGCCAGGGAGTGCAGTGGAGGATGGCCCAGGTGCTTGGGCCCTGCACCCCATGGGAGACCAGGAGAAGCACCTGGATCCTGGCTCCTGCCATCGGATCAGCGCGGTGCGCCGGCTGCAGCGGCGGCCATTGGAGGGTGAACCAACGGCAAGGGAAGACCTTTCTCTCTCTGTCTCTCTCTCTCACTGTCCACTCTGCCTGTCAAAAATAAAAAAAAAAAAAAAAAAAAAAAAAAAATTATACATTTAACCACAGTTAACAAAAACTGTGGTAAAAAGAAGAAAAGTGGTGGAAAAGGGGGGAAATTTTTAAAAACATTTATTTATTTACTTGAAAGGGAAGTTACAGAGAGAGGGAGAGAGAGGCAGAGATTTTTCCATCTGCTGGTTCACTTCCCAAACAGCCACAATGGCCAGGGATAGGCCAGGCTAAAAGCCAGGAGCCAGGAGCTTCTTCTGAGTTTCCCACATGGGGGCAGGGGCCCAAGCACTTAGACCATCCTCCTGCTTTCCCTGCACATTATCAGGGAGCCAGATCAGAAGTGGAGTATCTGGGACTCGAACTAACGCCCATACGGGGTTGTGGCATGGCAGGCAGTGGCTTAACCTGCTACACAATTAAGCAGGCACTAAGAAGGGGAAATGTGTTAATTTATTCATCTTTCACTGTGGGGAGCCACAGTTAAAGTTGGCAATTAATTAATAATTATATTAATGGAAGAAATTATGATAAACATTAGAAAAACGCAACAGAAATTGTTAACAGAATTGCTTCTAGGATGTGTGACTCAGAAATGTGGAGAAAAGAGATTTTATATTTTCTTTTCTTTCTTTCTTTTTTTTTTTTGACAGGTAGAGTGGACAGTGAGAGAGAGACAGAGAGACAGAGAGAAAGGCCTTCCTTTTTTTTCTGTTGGTTTACTCCCTAGTGGCCGCTGCGGCCGGCGCGTTGCGGCTGGTGCACCGCACTGATCCGAAGCCAGGAGCCAGGTGCTTCTCTTGGTCTCCCATGCGGGTGCAGGGCCCAAGCACTTGGGCCATCCTCCACTGAACTCCAGGGCCACAGCAGAGAGCTGGACAGGAAGAGGAGCAACCGGGACAGAATCTGGCACCCCGACCAGGACTAGAACCCGGTGTTGCCGGCACCGCAGGTGGAGGAGATTTTGTATTTTCTTTTGTGATCTTAAAATCTAAACATTGTGTATATGTGTGTGAGTGCATTTATATGGTAAACACTCAAAAACTTTAGAAGTTGTTTCAATGCTACAAAAAAAGAGAATAATATTCTTTTTTGTTTGGCAAAAAAAAATAGAAGTCTTTCACCAAAATGGTTTAATAGTGATATAGATGGAATGACCAATATGTCTTTTCATTTTTATTTAAAGATTTATTTATTCATTTGAAAGGCAGAGTTACAGAGAGGCACAGAGAGAGAGAGAGAAAGAGAGAGGTCTTCCATCAGCTGGTTCACTCCCCAGTTGGCCATAACGGGCAGAGCAGCACTGATCTGAAGCCAGGAGCCAGAAGCGTCTTCCCAGTCTCCCACGTTGGTGCAGGGGCCCAAGCACTTGGACCTTCTACTGTTTTCCCAGGCCATGGCAGAGAGCTGGATCGGAAGTGGAGATGCAGGGTCTTGAACTGGTGCCCACATGGGATGCTGGCACTGCAGGCAGCAGCTTTACCTGCTGCGCTACAGCACTGGCCCCATCTTTTCATTTTTAATAATGCTGTTGCACTCCTAAATAGTGAGCAGACTAAGAAATCTTGGTATTGCTTCTAACCATTGCTGCCACCAGGTAACCGTATAGTCTGGATGATAGAAGGAGGTTGGTTCTCAGTCCAAGAGTGTTTACTGTGTTGGTAAAATGTCTTTTCATCTGCTTTGAAAACTTAGTAAGTCTCTAGATCTTAATAATTAAAAAGTGTGTTTTTCATAGCAAACAACTTATTAAATTTTTTTCATCTGTAAGAAGTGATCTCATTTCTCATGTGCAAAAAGAAAACCGAAGCCCGATAGTGTTCAGAGACTTCTCTTTGTTCCCGGGATTATAGAGACTACTCAGGGAACTGATATCACCTTATTAACTTTCAGTACTCTTTGAAGCGACATTGAAATTCAGGCCTTGCAAGTTCTCACTTCCTCTTACGATTTTCACAAGCTGCACAGGCTACTTATTAAAACATCTAAACATTTGAGATCGACTGAACTTGAAAGAACTTTGTTTCCCACTAGATGGTTCCTCTTACAATCAAATCCAGAGGAAGGGAGAACCTGCTGGTATTTCTCTACATGGATAATTTAAACTCTTTGATGAAAAAATGTTGGGAATTCTGGGGAGGTCAACGGAAGAGGTAGACCAGGGGTTGAGCTTTTTGGAATGTGTTATATTTGCTTAGCAGCCCGAGGATATCAAGTATGTTTCAGATGGCAAAATTGATTTGAGCAAAGGAGCCGAAGCAGGGAATTTCAGTGCTGTAAATGCGGGAATGAAGTGAGATGGGTTTGGGGAGATAGTCTGGATTCTTGTTTTAAATACCAAGGCTTGAATCATCTCTCGAAGCCTAGAGAGAAGTGTTGAAGGTTTGTTTCATATTTTAAGAAGGAACTGCTTATTGTTCTTATGAAAAGAACACATTTTCATTGTAAGTAATTTAAAATGCAAAAAAATGCAAAAGATCCTTCACTAGATTTATCATTTGACAATTATCCTCAAAAAAGGTGGATAAAGTTTTAAAAAATCCAAAAAACCCTACAATCCAACATCTAAAAATAGTCAATATTTATATTTGATTAACATCATTCTGAATATCTTCCTATAAATAAATATAGATAGATAGATGTAATTTTAAAAATGGTATCATAATATATGTTCTTTAAAAATTTAAAAAGTATAAAATTCAAGTTTGATTTAGCAGAATAAAAAGTTGGACTTCAAATAAGGATGTATTCTTTACACAAGTTATTATTTCTGAAAACATGAATTAGGTTAGGAAAAGTGATTTGACATTATGCTGTTTTGTGTTAAAAAAAAAAATGTTTGTTTTGGGATCAGTGTTGTGGTGCAGCAGGTTAAGCCACCACTGGTGACACTGGCAGCATCCCACATGGGTGCCAGTTTGAGTCCTGGCTGCTCCACTTCTGATTCAGCTCTCTACTAATGCACCTGGGAAAGCAGCAGAAGATGGCCTAAGTACCTGGGTTCCTACACCGACACGGGCGACCCGGATGGAACTCTGGGTTCCTGGCTTCAGCCTGTCTGAGCCTCTGCTGCTAAAGCCATATTGGAGAATGAACCAGCTGATGGAAGATCTCTCTCTCTCTCTCTCTCACTCTGCCCTTCAAATAAAACACACGTTTAAAAAATGTTTTATTTTGATTTTTAAAAATCTTTATTTGAGAGGCAGAGAGATGCACAGAATGAAAGGACACTCTCATGTGCTGGTTTATTTCTCAGAAGCTTGCAACAATTGGAGGTGGGCCAGGCCAAAGCCAGGAGCTGGGTCCTCAATCCACATCTCCCTTGGGGGTGGCAGGGACCCAATCACTTGAGCCATCACCAGGGCCTCCCAGGTGTGCATTATCAGGAAGCTGGTGTCAGGACTGGAAGCTGGATATTGAACCCAGGTGTGCCTAAATAGGTGTTTTAATCAGCATCTTAACTGCTGTGCCAAACACCTACCCTACAAAATATGTTTTCAGTTAGAATCAATTGATGCTTCTCTGAAAGATCAAGGACATCAGCACATGCTTACTCTCTTCCGTCACTCCTTCCTACTGGCCTCAACATTTCTTAGTCATATTGTTTTACCTTGTTAATTCCTATTACTTGTACATGCTGTAAAGCCACAATTCCTACGTGTTCAGTATTAACTGTATATTTAAATAGATTCAATGATCATCACTATCATTTTACTAAGATGTCTCAATTCCTGAAATCTTAATTTTATCCTTTTTTAAAACTAAATTTCATTTTCAAGTGCTTTCTTAAGAATATGACAGAGCTCTTTTTTTTATGAGTTCCTTTATATTTGTGGGACTCTGCCTACTACCTTTATTTCCAAATGACATATTACATGGGTATATCCTTGGCTCAACGTTTGTTCTTTCAGAATTCTCTGGCCAATCCTGCATTGCCTTCTGGCTCTGAGCGCTGCCATTGAGAAATTTGAGGACAGCCTGACTTCTCCTTGCAGGCTTCCTGCTTTTTCTGCCTGGGCACTTGAAGTTTAATAAATCAATGAAAACGTGTCTCAGGACTGAATACTCTATCAATATCAAATTATCTTCTTCTTCTGCTTCTTCTTCTTCTTTTTTTTTTTTTTTTTTTTTTTTTTTTTTTTTTTTTGACAGGCAGAGTGGACAGTGAGAGAGACAGAGAGAAAGGTCTTCCTTTGCCATTGGTTTACCCTCCAATGGCCGCCGCGGCCGGTGCGCTGCGGCCGGCGCACCGCACTGATCTGATGGCAGGAGCCAGGTGCTTCTCCTGGTCTCCCATGCGGGTGCAGGGCCCAAGCATTTGGGCCATCCTCCACTGCACTCCCTGGACACAGCAGAGAGCTGGCCTGGAAGAGGGGCAACCGGGACAGAATCCGGCGCCCCGACCGGGACTAGAACCCTGTGTGCCAGCGCCGCAAGGCGGAGGATTAGTAAGCTGCGGCGCCGGCTCTATCTTCTACTTTTTTTAAACTTTTATTTAGTAAATATAATTTTCCAAAAGGTACAGTTTCATGGGATTACAAATGGGTTCCCCCCCCCCCCATAAATTTTCCCTCCCCACCCGGCACCCCTTTCCCAATCTTCCCTCTTCCCTCCTCCCAATTCCATTTCAAATCGAGGAATTCCGTTTTTCCAATTACCCTAATTTTATTATACAAGAAGGATCAATTTTTAGGAATATTATTAAAGGAAAATATTTTCATCCGGTTTTGCCCCCCCTCCTCACAAAACATAAAGTGTAAAATACTGTTTGAGTACTGTTATAGCATTAATTCACACTGGACAACACATTAAGGACAGAGATCCCACATGAGGAGTAAGTACACAGTGACTCCTGTTGTTGACTTAACAATTTGACAATCTTGTTTATGGTGTCAGAAATCTCCCTAGGCTCTAGTCATGAGTTTCCAAGGCTATGGAAGCCTCTTGAGTTTGCTGACTTTGATCTTATTTAGACATTATCTTCTATTTTTGAACTTTAAAGATACAGATGGGAGCCGGCACTGTGGCGTAGTGGGTAAAGCTGCCCCCTCAGTGCCAGTATCCCATGTGGGTGCCAGTCTGAGTCCTGGCTGCTCCACTTCCAGTCCAGCTCTCTGCTAATGTGCCTGAGAAAGCAGCAGAGGGTGGTCCAGGTGCTTGGGCACTGCACCAACGTGGGAGACCCAGAAGAAGTTCCTGGCTCCTGGCTTCAGATCTGCCCAGATCCGGTTGTTGCAGCCATTTGGGGAGTGAGCCAGTGGATGAAAGATCTTTCTCTCTGTCTCTCTGTAACTGCCTTTTAAACAAATAAATAAATAAATCTCAAAAAAAAAAAAAGATGCAGATGGATTGTTCGTTTTAGAGAAAACTTGTATGTGTGTAAATACACACACACACACACCCATATATATATATACTTACTACTTTTTTATTCCATTCCATTCCATTTAAAAGGAAGTAGAGGGCACCAACAGCCTCTCTCTTCTGTTAGTTTCTCTCTGATTGTTTGGCATCTTATTGTTTCCAACATCAATAGTCCCATTTCCAGTCATCACTTTTCCATTTCTTGTTGTTTTGGTGTATTTTTTAGTTCTATAATGATATTGTTTGGGTCTTTTCTTTCTCAGATGTGTAACTTTCCTATTCATCCCTTTAAGTTGTTTTAGTATTTCATTTTATTAGTTCTTATTATCCTGAGCCCACTTTCTTATTGGGTTGCTTTAGAGCTCAAAACGCTTGTGGGTTTTTCTCTTTTCTATGTACCTCCAGAACTGCTTCCAACTTTACCAGCAACTGGATTGTTTTTCCTATTGAACTGCACTTTGAAGACTTAGGCTGTATGGAGTTTTTCAGTGACTTAGCTGCTTGTCTGAAAGAGGAGAAGAGCAGAGCTCAGGAAAGTGAAGCCCAGGTGTGAAGCCTTTGTACAACCGCTTCTGGGGTTTTGTGAAGTGTCTATTGCAGAGATCACTCTACTAGCTTTTGTTATTTTCCATTCCCAAGGGAACGATAGCTTGAATCCTCAGAACATCCCTCTCCCCGCCAAGTACACTTTCCTGGAGTCTTCATCCCCACTTTAAAGAGTTATTCCACGCTTCCTGTTTGGCCTTTTCTCCCCAGTAGCTGTTTTCCTTTTTTTTTTTTTTTTTTTTTTTTTTTTTAATTTATTTGACAGGTAGAATTATAGACAGTGAGCGAGAGAGACAGAGAGAAAGGTCTTCCTTCCGCTGGTTCACTCCCCAAATGGCCGCTATGGCCGGTGCTGCACCAATCCAAAGCCAGGAGCCAGGTGCGTCTTCCTGGTCTCCCATGCAAGTGCAGGGACCCAAGCACCTGGGCCATCCTCCACTGCCCTCCCGGGCCACAGCAGAGAGCTGGACTGGAAGAGGAGCAACCGGGACTAGAACCCAGCGCCCATATGGGATGCCAGCGCTGCAGGAGGAGGATTAACCAAGTGAGCCACGGCACCAGCCCCTGTTTTCCTTTTATCCGAAGAGAAGGGAGGAAAGACAAGGAAACCACTAATTTTCTTCTCTCTTGTGCTCTAGGTGCATAAGTGTGTGTTAATTCTCAGGATTCTGTGGCTCTTGATGTATAAGTCTTGATGGAATGGAGACAGGGTTGGAAACCTTGACAATACACCAGTCCAGAATCTTCTATTCCCTTTCCTTGACTGCCACTCAGTTGATATTTAGAGCTGTTGCTCTTTGTTTGCTGTGGTGACATTTTAACTTGTTAGACATTCTTTGGGAGCAAGCATTTGGCAAGGTGGCTAACGTGCCACTTGAGATGCCTGCAGGAGTAGTTCCTATCACCCATGTGAGAGAGTCTTGAATGGAGTTCCTGGCCTCTGGCTTTGGCCTAGCCCAGCCCCGGCTGCTGCAAGCATTTGGGGCATGAACCAGCAGATGGGAGATCTTTCGTCACTTCTCTGCTTTTCAAGTAAATATAATAAACAAATAATTTGGATTTTTTTTTTTAGCTACTAATGGAAACAGACTGAGACAACTTCAATCAATTTTCTTAACCTCAAAATCCAGCTTTTAGATATATGTATAATCTCCATTGTTTTATGATTATCAATTTATGTATCCTCACTGTAAAAATTCAAACCATGCAGAAGTGTATGAAGTAAAAAAGGAAAGTTCCTGATTATATATCTCCCAAGAATATGGTTTTTAACAGTCCCTAGGTGTTTTTATTTATTTTTTTTACTTTATTTTTATTTATTTATTTATTTATTTTGACAGAGTTAGACAGTGAGAGAGAGAGAGAGACAGAGAGAAAGGTCTTCCTTCCGTTGGTTCACCCCCCAAATGGCCGCCACAGCTGGAACTACGCCTGTCGGAAACCAGGAGCCGGGTACTTCCTCCTGGTCTCCCATGTGGGTGCAAGGGCCCAAGCACTTGGGCCATCCTCCACTGCCCTCTCGGGCCACAGCAGAGAGCTGGACTGGAGGAGGAGCAACTGGGACTAGAACCTGGGGTGCCGGTGCCGCAGGTGGAGGATTAACCAAGTGAGCCATGGCGCCAGCCCCTAGGTGTTTTTAAATATTTATTTTCTTATTTTTTTTTGTCAATGCTTTGGTTTTTCAGTGTAATCACTAGAGAACATGAATGCATAGAAGTTTTCTTTTATTAACAGCTTCATTGGATCCCATTTGCATGCCACAAAATTCACTTTTATGTGTATAATCCAATGATTTTTAAGTAAATTTAGAGTCACTCAATCATCTCTCTATGTACAGACAGAGATAGTTACTTTCTTCATTCCAGTTTATCCTATCTCCCCAATTCTCAGAGGTGCTTAAGATGCCCACATCATGCTAAGCATGGCTAAAAGACCGCTTTTGAGAACTCCGGGAGGTTCTACACTTACTAGTTCAGCTATCTGCTCACCAAACACCTGCCCATTGGGTTTTCATTCCACTTATTTTTACCCATGATATTTGCTATTGTAATTTGATCAAATATTTGCAAATACATGACACTGAGTATAAAGATAACAGGAGATGCTTCTCTGAAATCTAAGGTGAATGCATTGGAAAAGCTGGCTAAAAGCAAGTGGCTAAAAAATGGTTGCATTAGGTCTGAGAGAGAAATCAGTGAGAGGAAACATGGTACCATCTCCAAGAGTTTGCATTAAAATTGCTTTTTTACAAGTGCCTTTCAGTCACTGCTCCACTTTAGAGAAATCATAGATGATTCAGTAAAGGCAAGATACACCAATCACTTCAAGAAAACTTCCATCAGAGTCTCCATAATGAAAGAAAAAGCCTGATGCTGCCCCAAGACCAGTGAAAGAATTCACACTTGTAAGTCTTAAAAAAAAAAAATGCGTGTAATTTACATTAGACTTCTTGCTCTTAAAACTGTATAGTGTATAATGCTTCATGATATAATTCTGCATTTTAGTTGACCTTTTTATAAAAGATTTATTTTATGTTTATTTCATTTGAAATGCGGAGTTAGAGAAAGAGGGACAGACTCCCCAAATGGTCACAACAGCCAGGGCTGGGCCAGGCCCAAGCCAAGAGCTTCTTCCAGGTCTCCCGCCATGGGTGCAGGGACTGAAGTACTTGGATCATCTTTTGCGTCTTTCCAAGGTGCATTAGCAGGGAGCTGGATCGGAAGTGGAGCAGCTGGGACTGGAATCCGCAACCACATGGGATGCCAGCGCTGCAGGCTGGGGCTTTACCCGCTAGGCCACAGTGCTGGCCCCTTAACTGGCCTTTTCGATCAACAACTGACCACTACAAACAGCTGCACAGAAGGCTGCCCACGGATGTGTATGTTGAAGACTTTTTTTCACGCCAGTAAATGGAAATCTTCCCCCATGCTTTTTTAAAAGTAGCCTCTATACTTTAACAAACTCCCTATTCAAACTACTTTGATGTTTCCTGGAAAAAAAAAAATCCAATCAGGAAAGCAAGATGATGGCTGTGGATGGAGGGAAAGAATCCGGCACTGGAACATAAAAGGGGTTAAAGAAAGGGGCATGGAAGAGGGGACGTGTCCCGAAGGCTCTGGGGATGATCCCTAGCTGGCAGTGCCCGGGATCCCCCATCACTCGTCCACGGCGGATAGATGCTCCTGGCAGTCTGGAAGCCTCGACATTTCTGGAAAACTCGCCACACTCGCTACCTCAGCTCAAGTCAGTTCTCCCGGATTTCATCTCTGCCCGTTGAAATCCCCTCTTTCCCTCGAGACCCAGGACAAACGCGCCACATGCCGCCAAGAGCAGCCCCGGCTGGAAATGATCTATCCACCTTGCAGCACAGTCCTCTCCGTTTCTCCCCAAAGCCGGCCGCCGCAGTGCTGCAGAGCGGCAAGGCCACACCCCTCCATCTGCCACCTGGGTGACACTGGCCCCCCACCCTCCTTCTCCAGGCCTCAGTGTCTGCACCTGTAAGGCAGGGAGAAGTGTGCACAGCGTTGCTATGAGGATGAAGTCTTCGAGGGCTGTACAGAACTTGGAACCGGGCCTAACAAGCGGTACCCAAGTGCTGAACAAATGTTAGCAAACATTTGGATCCTCCCCGACCGGCGGTCCACTTGACCTCAGAGGCCCCGGGCACCTAGCGGGGTCACGGGCACTCGGAGCGCTCCGAAGCTGGCACCCACCCGCCGAGGAGCCGCGCACGATGCGCGGAGGCCGTGTCCAGACGCCTGGGGCTTGGTGCCAGGAGTCCGGCGCCGCGGTCATGTGACCCAGCCAAGATGGCGTCGCCCAGCTGCTTGTGGATCTTCTCTGTGGCTCTGCTACCCTGGTCCTGCGCCGCCTGGGCGCTGGGCCATGTCGCCGGCCCGGGACCGCTGCCGCTGGTGATCTGGCACGGGATGGGTGAGTGAGTGAGAGGAGGGTCGGGAGGGTGAGGTGACCGTACCAGCCCGGGGGCTCGCGCGCGCCTGCAGCCTGCGGACTGCGGGTGTGGAGGGCCAGGACCCCGGTCCGCAGCACCCGGCCGGCGCGACGTTTTAGCATTTGACGGAATACTGTGCATTGGAAAGGTAGAGGGGAAGGCGCTGTGTTTGGGTGAGCTCTCCTAGAGCTGTGCGCTGCCTTGGCGGCTTTCCGTTGTCCTTGTTAATCCTGGCCGCAGTGGCGTCGGGGCGCAGCGTTTGCCACTTAGCCCAGCTTGCTAGGTCGAGGCTGTCTGCCCGGCGCATCCATCCTTCTGTTTCTTGGCACACCGAACAGAGATTTGTTGGGTACCTACAGTTCATGTATCCATTTTACACATAGTTATTGAGCGCCTAGTAGCTGCTGAGGACACACAGTGAACTAAACGATTACATTCTTTGTGCCTTTGGGGACTTACTTTCCAATGGGAGAGACAGACTATGCAGAAATAAATAAGCAAATTGTATAATTTGTCAAATGGTGATAGTGCAATGGAGAACAATAAAGCAAGAACAAGGCTAGAGACTGGAGGTGAGGACTTGGAAAGTGATATCTGGGTGAGGGGAAGATGCCACTTGGTTAATTGAGGGCACAGCAAATGCCAAGGCTATGAGGCAGAAGTGTGTGGGTTCCTCAGAAAGTTCTGGAAAGTGGAATTAAAAGATAAGTTTATTTTGGTGCAGAAAAATGGAAATCCAGGCATTTTTTCATGATCCTCATTTCCATGAACTTTTTGAATACCCGTTGTATGTCTAGTGTATGCAAGGAATAGAATCTGGATCTGTTTGTCCAGAACTGAGTGAACAAGAAGAGGCTAGAGATTTAGGCCAGAGAGGGAAGTGAGTGCAAACACTGTTGGATGTACCAAGACTAATGTAGAGACTTTGGCCAGAGTGAGATTGGAAACTTTGAGCAATTGAATGATGTAACTTAAACTTTTAATTAGATTATTTGTATTTATTGACAAACAATAATTATACATATTTATGGGGTACAATGTAATGTTTCAATACATACATGCATTTCAATGCATACATTTTAATTAGAACAGTGATGATGGTGGCTTGGATGGTGGCTGTACTACTGTATAATAACAGTAGGGGTGTTAGGAAGTGGTCCACGTTTGGATATATTTTGAAGCTAGAACCCTATGGGATATGCTAACAGATCGATTGAGGGTTGAAAGAAAGGACTCCACAGGTCTTTGCCTTAACAATTACAAGGATGAAGTTGTCATTTTTCAAAGGGAACGCTGTAGACTGAGCAAGCTTGGGGTGCCGAGGAAGATCAGAGTCTGCTTTTGGACCTATTCATTTAAGATCCTGTTAGATAATACAGAGATGCTGTAGAAGTGTTTAAGTGGGGGCTAAGATGGAGATCCAGGTTACAAATTTAAGTTGGGAGCCTTTAGCAGATGGGTAGTATGTACAGCCTTGAGACTGGCAAGATCACACAGGGTGTGGGCACACACAGAGAGCCCTGAGGCTCTCCAGTGTTCAGAGGCGGAGGAGGAACCAGCAAAGCAGACAGTGGCAAGACAACCAGTGGGGTGGAGGTCAGGAGAGTCCCATGTCCTGGAAACCCAGAAGAGAGAATGGGGTGAAGAGGATGGGAGTGATCAATGTATCACGTGTTGTTGATAAGTAGGGTGGGGCTAAGAATTAATTACTGGGTTTAGCAACGTGAAGATGGTGAATGATCTTAACGCAGGCAGTTTTGGGGGAGTGGTGAGAGTGGGAGCTTTATTGGAATGGCTTAAAAGAAAAATGTTTGAGAAGAGTTAAAGTCAGCAGATACAGAGTTTTCCAGGGCGCTGTGCATGCTGTGGGGCTGCTACAGTGGGTTGATAGAGGACACACATGGACACTCAGCTCGCCCAGAGCTCACAGTCAGCCCTCAGGGGGAGGCAGCTAAGTAACCGGCAATTACAGTTCAGCCTGATGAATGTTGTCGCAAGAACAACAGAAGATTTTTCTAGACCACAGCTTTCCTGTTTTAAACTCGTTCCCAAGCTTAGTCCTAAGTTGAAAATGGAATGATTAAGTTCGAAATGGGAAGTTGTCTCAGTCTGCCTCTCCCACTCAGTGGCCAGTCGGGTTTCTTTTGGTCCTTGGTTCTGGTTTCTGGGACTAGCATTAGGCAAGGAGTTGCCAAGTGCAGATTTAAGGAGGCAGTAGCTCTCAAGTTTGTACAAGTTCAGAGTCAGTACATGCACAAACCTGACAGTGAGCCCCTCCTTAAATGTTGTGCCCTAGGCGCTTTGCTTGCCTCACCCTGTACCTGGCTCTGAAGTTTGGAACCTGTTCGGCCCAAATATCCTGTGTCATCAGGGAGCAGATTGTGCACTTCTGTTGACTTTTCTGTTGTCATTTTGGTACCCCAAGTGTTATGCATGCACTATTGAAGCTTAGTATTATTTGATAAACAGGAGCCAAGCAAAAGTGTCTTTTTTTTTTGCAGCTAAAACTCTATCACATAGGCCGGCGCCACGGCTCAATAGGCTAATCCTCCGCCTGTGGCGCCGGCACACCGGGTTCTAGTCCTGGTCAGGGTGCTGTATTCTGTCCCGGTTGCTCCTCTTCCAGGCCAGCTCTCTGCTGTGGCCCCAGAGTTCAGTGGAGGATGGCCCAAGTGCTTGGGCCCTGCACCCGCATGGGAGACCAGGAGAAGTACCTGGCTCCTGGCTTCGGATCAGCGAGGTGCGCCGGCCGCCAAGCACCGGCCGCAGTGGCCATTGGAGGGTGAACCAATGGAAAAGGAAGACTTTTTTCTCTGTCTCTCTCTCCCTCTCACTGTCCACTCTGCCTGTCAAAAAAAAAAAAAAAAAAAAAAAAAAAAAAAAAAAAAACTTTATGACATAAAGTTAGCCAATAACAATATCCATTAAGTATTCGCCACCCTCCTCCCACCACTCCCTGGTAACCTCTAACTTACTCTCTCACTATGGATTTGCCTCTTATGGATACCTCCTCCCAAAGGAAGCATATAATATATCACTTTTTGTATTTGATTTATTTCGCCTAACATTGTCTTTTCTGGGTTCATCCAAGTAATGACACATGTCTGTACTCTGTTCCTTTTTATGGTTGGTGTGGGGAGCAGCTCGGACTAGACTAAGTTACTGGAATTAAGACTTATTCTATGCATCTGCTCTCCTCTGTGGGGAGCAGCTCGGACTAGACTAAGTTACTGGAATTAAGACTTATTCTATGCATCTGCTCTCCCACAATATGGCGCTGGGAGAGAAGTAAACAGCTTCCGCACAGCTGCCTCCAGTTCAACCAATAAACTGTAGGACCTGCTCCTGATTGGAGAGCAGCGTACTCGGCGTGTGGGCAGCCGAGTTAGGATTGGCGGAGGAGGACTATAAAGGAGGAGAGAGACGGCATGCACCGGGAACATCTATGGGGAACATCTAGCTGAAGGAACACCTGTGCAGCCCCCGAGAAGAGCCGGCCGGCGGTGTGCCGCTCCCCTGCGGAAGTGGGGAATGTGGCCAGGGGGAACTGCCCTTCCACGGAGGTGGAAGGGATAGTAGCCAACCCGGGAAGAACCAGCAGCAAACCCGGGGAGGGCCGAGCAGACGAAAGAACAGCGCAGGGTCCTGTGTCGTTCCTCCACGAAGAGGGGGAGCGACATAATGGTGCCGTGACTCGGATATGAAGCCTAGGCAGGGTTTAGTGTCGTTCCTCCACGAAGAGGGGGAGCGACATAATGGTGCCGTGACTCGGATATGAAGCCTAGGCAGGGCTTAGTGTTGCTCCTCCATGAAGAGGGGGAGCGACATAATGGTGCCGTGACTCGGATAGGAAACCTAGGAGGGAAGAAATGACTCGGATAGGAAACCTAGGACGGATAGAAAACTTAGGAGGGAAGAAACGTGACTCGGATAGGAAACTTAGGACGGATATGAAACTTAGGAGGGAAGAAACGGGAAGAACTGGGAAAATACCGGAGAGAGAGACTAGCAAACAGCCTAGGGAAAAGCCGGACGAAAAGGGTGCCGGAAGAAGCTATTGAAAGCCTAGGCATAGACTCGGATACGGACTACGGGGGGAAGCTGGGAGAAATCTCTAAGGTTGAAAGTGAAAGTGAAACCTATAAGAAACTTAGACTTGGATACGGACTGTGGGGAGAGGCCAGGAGAAATGAGGGAGGAATATTGTTGGAAGAAAACTTAGGGAAACACACCGGGTAGAGAAAAATGTTAGGGAGGATGAAGCCGCGAGTGCAGGCCAAGCCATCTTGGAATTCTTCAAGTCACCCTGGGGAGCAAGAGGCGAAGATCTGGAACCAGAGGCAGAGACGTGGGCCGCCAGAATTCGCCAGGTTAGTCCGGGGAACTTGGACTGAATGCCGGTGGTGGCGGAAACATTCGCGGAAGCCGCCGCGTGCAGAGAGAGCACGGGGCGTTGGCGCGAGGCCGTGGTGCGGGCGCGAAGTGCGTGGAGACCACGGAGCGTGCGCGCAGAGCCGGGAACCCGCCGGCGGGGCGAGGCGCCAGGAAGCCGCGCAGAGCTGTGAAGCCGCCGCGGGGCGGGCGCCGGCGGGGCGAGGAGCCGGGAAGCTGCGCAGATGAGAGAGGCGCGGGCTGAAGCGGCTCAGCCGGAAAGCTGCCGAGAAGCAGCCTCGGGGCGGGCGCAGCCGGGAAGCCGCGGGGATAAGAATGAGAGCGGGAAGCCGCAGGGATAAGAGAAACAGAAGTTTAGAAGTAAAGTGAGAAAAATAGGAATGCTGGAAGATAGAAGTAAAATGGGAGAAATAGGAATGCCCGGAGATAGAGAAATAGAGAAATAAAAAGGCCTCCCTACAACACTGCAATGTGAGAGCTTGGATTCGGTCTGCCTAATCAAGTGAGGCGATGAGCACCTGCGGGCAGCTAGCAGCTTATGCGCCGCAGGTCACCGAAGACAGGCACGAATTAACATCAGTAAGGCTTCCCCACAATACAACAATATTAAGCTTGGATTCGGTCTGCCTGATTTAAGGCGGTAAGCGCCAGCAAGCAGCTCGACCAGAGTATGAGCTGCAGGTCACCGAAGATAGGCACGAACCAACACTAATAAGTCTCCCCCACAATAAGGCAATGAGAAGGCTTGGATTCGGTTTGCCTGATAGGTCTTGTAAGTCCCCTGCAGGAAGAGCAGAGCATGCGCTGCAGGGCACCGAACACAGGCACGCATCAGCGCCTAAAAACCTCCTCACAACATGGCGAAGAGAGGACCCGGATTCGGTTTTCCTGATTGATAGGACTTGTAAGAGCCTGTGGCAACTCTAGCAAGTAGAGCAGAGTGTGTGCTGCGGGACACCGAAGACAGGCGCGTATCAACGCCAAAAAAATAAAAAGAAAGGGGGATCTGTGGGGAGCAGCTCGGACTAGACTAAGTTACTGGAATTAAGACTTATTCTATGCATCTGCTCTCCTCTGTGGGGAGCAGCTCGGACTAGACTAAGTTACTGGAATTAAGACTTATTCTATGCATCTGCTCTCCCACAATATGGCGCTGGGAGAGAAGTAAACAGCTTCTGCACAGCTGCCTCCAGTTCAACCAATAAACTGTAGGACCTGCTCCTGATTGGAGAGCAGCGTACTCGGCGTGTGGGCAGCCGAGTTAGGATTGGCGGAGGAGGACTATAAAGGAGGAGAGAGACGGCATGCACCGGGAACATCTATGGGGAACATCTAGCTGAAGGAACACCTGTGCAGCCCCCGAGAAGAGCCGGCCGGCGGTGTGCCGCTCCCCTGCGGAAGTGGGGAATGTGGCCAGGGGGAACTGCCCTTCCACGGAGGTGGAAGGGATAGTAGCCAACCCGGGAAGAACCAGCAGCAAACCCGGGGAGGGCCGAGCAGACGAAAGAACAGCGCAGGGTCCTGTGTTGCTCCTCCACGAAGAGGGGGAGCGACAGTTGGAAAATATGATATAGTATGTATACGCCACAATTTGTTTATCCCTTCGTCCAGTACTGGTCACTTGTGTTACTGCCCCCTATTGGCTGTTACTGGTAACCCAGCAGTGGACATCCATGTGCAGGTTTCTGGATGCATGTGTTTTCATTTCTCGTGGGTATGTGCCTCAGAGTAGAGTTAGGGGGTCCTATGGCAAGTGTGTGTTTACTGTTTGGAGAAACTGCCAAGCTGTTTTTCATAGTGACTGCATCATATTCCATCTCTACCAGCAATGTACAGGGTTTCTGTAGTCCTTGCCAATACTTCTTTTCCATTTAAAAAAAAAAATTATCATTATTAGAGCCATCCAAGTAGCTGTGAAGTAGTATCTCATTGTTTTGATTTGTACTTCCTTAACAACCAATGATAATTATTGTTGACTATTTTGATATATTCTTTGGAGGAATGTCTGTTCAAGCTCTTTTCTTGTTCCTTAATTAGGTTATCTTGTTGAGTTGTAAGCGTTTTTTATTTTTTATTTATTTATTTTTTTTGGACAGGCAGAGTGGACAGTGAGAGAGAGACAGAGAGAAAGGTCTTCCTTTTACCGTTGGTTCACCCTTCAATGGCCGCTGCGGCCAGCACACTGTGCTGATCTGAAGCCAGGAGCCAGATGCTTCTCCTGGTCTCCCATGCAGGTGCAGGGCCCAAGGACTTGGGCCATCCTCCACTGCACTCCCGGGCCATAGCAGAGAGCTGGCCTGGAAGAGGGGCAACCGGGACAGAATCCAGCGCCCCGAACGGGACTAGGACTAGAACCCGGGGTGCCGGCGCTGCAGGCAGAGGATTAGCCTATTGAGCTGTGGCTTCGGCCTGAGTTGTAAGCGTTCTTTATGTATAGTAGCTATTAAACCCTTATTAGATATATGTGTTGCAGATATTTTCTCTCGTTAATGCCAGAGGAGGCACAAAAATTTTAAAAAAGAAATCATACTGTTTGGATTCATGAGTTTGCATCATTGTTTCTGTTGGCTAGGAGACAGCTGTTGTAATCCCGTAAGCATGGGTGCTGTTAAGAAAATGGTTGAGAAGAAAATACCTGGAATTTATGTCTTGTCTTTAGAGATTGGGAAGACCCTGCTGGAGGTAAGGCCCTCACAGCCCCGGCTGCTTGGAAGGTTTGCTGACTGTTTTGTACTATTAGAATGCCTGGGGCACGTGCTGTGGCAGAGTGGGTCAAGCCAGTGCTTGAGTTGTTGCATCTCAGATCTGAGTGCCTGGTTTGAAGATGCAGCTTCCTGCTGATGTGCCTAGGAGGCAGCAGGTGCTCAAATGCTTGGGCTCCTGCCGCCCACTTTAGAGACCCAGATGGAATTCCTGGATCCTGGCTTCAGCCTGGCCCAGCCCCTGGCTATTGTGGGCATTTGGGGAATGAACCAGCAGTTAGAAAATCTGTGTGTGTGTGTGTGTGTGTCTGCCCCTGTACCTTTCAAGTAGTCGGAAATAAATAAATAAACATTTTTAAAAATAGACAAGGAATGCTTCACAGTGTATTTCTAGCAGCAAATCGCACAGTGATGCCTTCGCTTCTGATGGCTGGTGCATTACCAACCTGAATGAGTTCAGCTTTTAGAGAAAACGCTGCTGGTGGCTTTCTGTCCCGTCCTTTTACTTCCCTGTGGCTCCTTTTTAGGACATGGAGAACAGCTTCTTCTTGAATGTCAACTCCCAAGTTGCAACAGTGTGTCAGATTCTTGCTAAGGATCCTAAATTGCAGAAGGGATACAATGCCATGGGATTCTCCCAGGGAGGCCAGTTTCTGTAAGTCCCCTTTGGTTCCATCTTACAGCGGGTTCATTTCTTCTCTTTTGCTCCAGTAAATCCACTCCTTTCGTTCTTTTGAGCTCCTCACCTGTCTTGGAGGGAGAAATCCTTCTAAAATATCCCCACAGAAAAACTTTATAGACTCTGCTAATTTATTTCCTATGAAAGAATTAAGATTTGTGGGGCTGGCACTGTGGCATAGTGGGTAAGGCTTTCGCCTGCAGTGCCAGCATCCCATATGGCCATGGGTTCGAGTCCCAGCTGCCCTTCTTGTGATCCAGCTCTCTGCTATGGCCTGGGAAAGCAGTGGAGGATGGCCCAATTGCTCGGGCTCCTGCATTCCTGGCTGTTGGCTTCGGATCAGCCCAGCTCCAGCCATGGTCATTTGGGGAGTGAACCAGCAGCCGATGGAGGCCCTCTCTTTCTCTCTGCCTCTGCCTCTCTGTACTCTGCTTTAAAAAAAAAAAAAAATTAAGATTTGTGTTTGGCTGTATGAGAGGAAAATCCTGAAACTCCATGGCTTTGGGGAACCGCAGGATTAAGTCACTTGACCCGCGGGAGCTGATGGTTAATGTTCCGTTTCCACCTGACAGCTGGAGCTCATAACCCCCTTTCCTCCCGCAGGAGAGCCGTGGCTCAGAGGTGCCCGTCGCCTCCCATGAACAATCTGATCTCCATTGGAGGACAGCATCAAGGTAACTTTGACCTTTGTACTTCCTTCTTTGTAACCCACCAGACCACTTGAATTTAAAAAGAAAACGAATCTCAGCAGCTCCATTTTGCACAGGAAGTCAGCCATGCTTGCAAAATCCTGTTTCCTTGAGCACCCTGGGTGGGCTTGATGAGGAAATAGGAAGAGGCTGAGGATGCCAGAGGCCTGGAACTCAGGCCACCCACTTCTCTTTCATGTGCTTGCCAGGATTGCATGACTGCTGCCGCATGGCAGGGGGCGCTGGAGGAGTTAGGAAAGCAACGGCTTTTCCTGTTCTCCAGCACTGGAGATGTCCTGTGGAATTTAGGCCAAGGCAAAGAATAGTGTGTAAGCTTTTGTTGTCTCTGAATGTAACAGGAGAAGGGAAACCCTTTGAAAAACAGAGGGTTTCTATTTAGAGGAAATCAAACACTTTGCGGGGAGGCTGTGTGTTTGGTGCAGAATCTTACCTCTGTTAGGACGGATGGGGAGCTGTTAGCTGGAGGAGTGTGGGAGCGTAGGATTCTCTTATTAATCGGGAAACCTGGCGTCACCTAATTGACTGTTACTCATGAGGAAGTCCCTTTCACAGATGGGGGAACTAAGATATGGCCTGGCTCATCGTCTGGGGGTTTTTCTGAGGATGAAGTGGAAACTAGGGTGAATAGGTAGTCAGACTCTTAAACAGTACAAGCACCATACAAATTCAGATTAGTGACCACAGTTGAAGCTTTCAGTCCAGGGGTGGGGAACCTTTCTTCTGCAAGGGGCCTGTTTGCATATTTATAACATCATTCGCTGCTGTACAAAATTATCTACTACAAAGTTTAGCCTGTTGTGGACCGGTCTTATTGGGTATTATTATTGAATTTCAAGTCCCACCTGCGGTTCCCATGGCGGAAAGCCAGACCAATTTATTTATTTATTTATTTTGACAGGCAGAGTGGACAGTGAGAGAGAGAGACAGAGAGAAAGGTCTTCCTTTGCCATTGGTTCACCCTCCAATGGCCGCCGCGGCCGGCGCGCTGTGGCTGGCGCACTGCGCTGATCCGATGGCAGGAGCCAGGAGCCAGGTGCTTTTCCTGGTCTCCCATGGGGTGCAGGGCCCAAGCACCTGGGCCATCCTCCACTGCACTCCCTGGCCACAGCAGAGGGCTGGCCTGGAAGAGGGGCAACCGGGACAGAATCCGGCGCCCCGACCGGGACTAGAACCCGGTGTGCCGGCGCCGCAAGGTGGAGGATTAGCCTAGTGAGCTGCGGCGCCGGCCTAGACCAAATGATTTTGTAGACCTTCCATGGCCCACCCTGATAGTCACGCAACAGATACTTAGGAAGTGAAGACAGTGGCTTTAGTTATTGAAGAAGCAGGCTCAGGAGCCAAACTGCGTGTGCTCGAATCCCGGCTCGCACCCTTACAGCCTAGCCTCGGATGAGGTATGTAGCCTCTGTGTTTTAAAGTTCTCTGAGATAAGGGGGAAATAATGACATCCACTCCACAGGGACATTGTAAAGATGAAATAATCATTGCCAATACAATCAACCTTCCATACCATTGGTCCCACATTGTGGATTTAACCAACCATGGATTGAAAATATTCAAAGAGCACATTTTGCCTGTTCTGAACATACACAGATTTTTTTTTTCTTGTCAGTATTCCCAGAAAACAAATGCAGTGTAATGGCTATTTAGCAAGTACCTGGTATTAGGTATTACAGGTAATCTAGAGGTGACTTAAAGTATACAAGAAGCTGTGTGTAGCTTTATGCAAATGCAAGCTCATTTTAAATGAGGCACTTGAGCATCCACAAATTGTGCATCCTCAGGGGGTCTTGGGCCCCATCCCCTGTGGATGCCAAGGGTTTGCTTAGAACTCTGCTTAATAAGTCGATGCTGAGGATGACAGGAAGTGGAGGAGGCGAAGGGACGGGGATGGGCACCGCTTGATGTGGGGTGGTCAGATAGGACTCCTCTCAGCTAAGCGTGGCAGCTGAGAAGTCCAGCCAGGAGAGTTCCCGCAGAGGCAGCGCCTCCCCCAGGAATGCAGCAGGGAGCATGGCAGCACCAGGGGGAAGCTGGTGTTAGAATTCCTTCTTGGGGCTGGCGCTGTGGCTCACTTGGTTAATCCTCCACTTGCGGCACCAGCATCCCATATGGGCGCTGGGTTCTAGTCCCGGTTGTTCCTCTTCCAGTCCAGCTCTCTGCCGTGGCCTGGAAGGGCAATGGAGGATGGCCCAAGTGCTTGGGCCCTGCACCCGCATGGGAGACCAGGAAGAACCACCTGGCTCCTGGCTTTGGATCAGCGCAGTGCCAGCTGTAGTGGCCGTTTGGGGAGTGAACAAACGGAAGGAAGACCTTTCTCTCTGTCCCTTCCTCTCACTGTCTGTAACTCTACCTGTCATTAAAAATATTAAAAAAAAAATTCCTTCTTGATGCTTACTTTCCTTGAGGAAGAGTCGAAGGAAGCCAGGGTGGGCTCCTGCTTGTTTTGTTTCTCAAAGTACCTCGCACGAAGTAGGTCCTCCGTGTATGATTTTTAAAGGAATGGACTTCTCTCTACCATAGGTGTTTTTGGACTCCCTCGGTGCCCGGGAGAGAGCTCTCACCTCTGTGACTGGATCAGGAAAACCCTGAATGCTGGGGCCTACTCCAAAGCTGTGCAAGAACGGTACGTGCCGGGGCTGGGAAGCACGCAGCCCTGTTGCTCAGAGAGGACACCAGGCTCACATTTGTAAGCTGGCCCGGATTCCAGGAGCAGTTGTTAATGGCATTCAAATGAGAGACTTAAAACTATCTCTGAACTATCTGCTCAGTCTTACTGCAAAACTAAAACTGTTCTAAACATAGTCTACTAATTAAGAAAAAAAAAAAACACGGTATTTTTCAGTGTCGGAAGACTGTAATTATAACAGAATACATTTCTATCCTTAAAAAACGAACGGGAGCAGGCATTTGGCCTCGTGGTTAAGATGTCTGTGTCCCACACAGGGTGGCTGGGTTGGATACCTGTCCCACTCCTGACCCCAGCTTCCTGGGAGGCAGCATGGATGAGAGCTCAAGGAGTTGGATTCCTGCCGTGCATGGGAGAGACCTGGACTGAGTTCCAGCCTCCTAGCTTAAGCTCCTGACTCTGCCCCGCCATTGCCCATTGCGAGTCTTTGAGGAGCGAACCAGCAGATGGGAGCTTTCTCACACACAGTAGTCTTCCTCTCTTGTGTGTGCGCGCTCTCTCTCTGTCTCTCTATTTCTCCTTCTCAAATAGTTAATTAAACAAGCAAACAAACAAAGGCTTTGGAAAGTTCTAAGCCCAGGGAATGGCTCTTAGTATTTGGAGGATAGATTCTTTATGTTGTCAGCAGTGCTGAGTCTGTCCCACCCACATCAGTGTCCCCAACTGCTGAAATGTGTTCAGGTTTTTAGAAATACATAGAGTTACTTTTGGAGCATGTTCTTGTTCAGTTATTTCCAAACTTAATTATACATCTTAACTGCTGGGAAATTCACTAAAAATGGACTCCAGTGCTCGCCCTAGGAATTCTGATTTAGAAGATGTGCAGTAGTCTAGGTGATAGCTATGGTTGAGATCAACTAATGTGGTTATGGTATCTGTCCTGTGGGTTTTCCAAATTTATCACTTTTATCGCTTTATAAAAAAAGATTTATTAACTTATTTGAAAGGCAGATACAGAGTGAGGAGAGATAGAGATAGATAGATAGAGATTGATTGATCGATCTTCCACGTTCTGGCTCACTCCCCAGATGACTGCAACGGCCAGGAGCTGTTCTGCAAACAAGCTGAAGCCAGGAGCCAGGAGCTTCACCTGGATCGCCCACGTGGGTGCAGGAGCGCAAGCACTTGGACCATCTTCCAGTGCTTTTCCTAGGCCATTAGCAGGGAGCTGGATCAGAAGTGGAGCAGCTAGGTTGTGAACCAGTGCCCATATGGGGTATCCGTGTCACAGGTGGCACCTTTACCCACTACACCACAACGCCAGCCCCACAAATTTATCACTCCCGTCAAATAACGACTCTTCAATATAACATGTCCCAGAAACCATTTGCCAAAGGATGGCCTTGTGAGTAACTCACATAAGAAGCATCGTCCTCCTGGGTTTTCCTATCCTATCAGCTATGTGTTAAACACAAAGCTGTTTCTGGCCACCAGCGCCACCTGATGGCCAGTGCAGGAAACAGATACTTGACCTCCACCTTTTTCTCCTCAGGTAACTCAGATCATCTCCAACTTTGCCTGTTTTCGCTGTTTTTTATAAAATTAAGATTTATTTTATTTACTTGGAAGGCAGAGTAGAGTGACAGAGAGGGAGATGTAGAGAGATCTTCCATTTTCTGGGCCCTAAGTGGCCACAACGGCTGGGACTGGACCAGGCCAAACCCAGGAGGTAGAAACTGCATCCTGGACTCCCACGTGGGTGGTAGGGACCCAAGCACTTGGGCCATCTAACTCTGCTTTCTCAGGCGCATCAGAAGGGAGCTGCATCAGAAGTGGAGCAGCCAGGACTTGAACCGGAACTCCGGTGTGGGATGCGGGCAGTGTAAGCAGTGGCTTAACTGACTGTGCCACGATGCCAGCCCGCAGGCCTAGCTTTAATCCATGTCCTACATAGTCTCAGTTCTCGTGGAGGTGCGTGGCTTCTTTAAGCTTCACTCTTCCATTGTTGTTGTTTTTTCTAACTCTTGCCTGGATCCCTTAGAAAATAACTGTTTGTTTGTTTGTTGTTTTTTTTTTGTAGGTGTATTTCTTTGTTTTGTGAACCAAACACAGTGCTTGGCAGTGATGGCAAATGAGTAGTCGGTGGGGAATGAGAAGTGACAACTCAACATTGATGAAAAGTGGTAGCTCGATGGGTTGATTGTCATTTCCTCCTTCGACTCTTCCTCCTTCAACAGCAGCTTGCTGGTGTCTGCCTTTCAAGTAGATAAAGAATCAGTTTTTGAAAACTTCATGGAAAGTGGAATCAAGAGATACATTTATTTTGATGTAAAAAATTTGAAATCCATGCATGATTTCATTAAAATACAATTTTTTTTTTTTTTTGACAGGCAGAGTTAGACAGTGAGAGAGAGAGACAGAGAGAAAGGCCTTCCTTCCTTTGGTTCACCCCCCCAAATGGCCTGTACAGCCGGCGTGCTACGCCGATCCGAAGCCAGGAGCCAGGTGCTTCCTCCTGGTCTCCCATGCGGGTGCGGGGCCCAAGGACCTGGGCCATCCTCAACTGCCTTCCTGGGCCACAGCAGAGAACTGGACTGGAAGAGGAGCAACCGGGACAGAACCGGTGCCCCGACCGGGACTAGAACCCGGAGTGCCGGCGCGGCAGGTGGAGGATTAGCCTAGTGAGCCATGGCGCCGGCCTATAATCCACATTTTCCATTAACTTTTTGAAGACCTCTCATGCATGGATTTCAAAAACATTTTGCATCAAAATAAACTCTAGATTCTGTTTTCCATGGAATTTTTAAAGGACCTTGGCACCTTCAGACATGCAAAAAGGAAAAAATGGCCTTCTTGGTTAAAAAAAATAAAATTGAGTAAAGGGCCGGCGCCGTGGCTCAATAGGCTAATCCTCCACCTTGCGGCGCTGGCACACCGGGTTCTAGTCCTGGTTGGGGCGCCGGATTCTGTCCCGGTTGCCCCTCTTCCAGGCCAGCTCTCTGCTATGGCCAGGGAGTGCAGTGGAGGATGGCCCAGGTGCTTGGGCCCTGCACTCCATGGGAGACCAGGAAAAGCACCTGGCTCCTGGCTCCTGCCATCGGATCAGCGCGGTGCGCCGGCCGCGGCAGCCATTGGAGGGTGAACCAACGGCAAAGGAAGACCTTTCTCTCTCTGTCTCTCTCTCTCACTGTCCACTCTGCCTGTCAAAAAAAAATAAAAAGATTTATTTATTTATTTGAGAGGCAGAGAGAGAGAAAAATAAAGAGAGAGAAAGAGAGGTATTCAATCCACTGGTTAACTCCCTAGATGGCCCCATTGGCCAGAGCTGGGCCTATCTGAAGCCAGGAGCCAGGAGTTTCTTCCAGGTCTCCCACGTGTGTGCAAGGGCCCAAGGACTTGGGCCATCTTCTACTGCTTTCCCAGACCATAGCAGAGAGCTGGATTGGAAGTGGAGTAGTCGGGACTTGAACCAGCACCCATGTGGGATGCTGGCACAACAAGCAGCAGCCCACTACACCACAGCGCTGGCCCCCCATTTTTATTTTTTAAAATCTCTTTATTTGGCAGGCAGAGAGAGAGTCCACTCCTATCCACTGATTTCATTCCCTAAATGCCTACAACGGCCTGGGTTGGGCCAGGTCCAAGATGGGAACAGGAACTCAATCCAGGTCTCTCAAGTGAGTGGCAGGGACCCAGGTACTTGAGCCATCACTGTTGTCTCCCATAGTGAGCGTTAGCAGGAAGCTAGAAGTGGGAGTGGAGCTAAGACTCAAACTCAGGCACTCTGATAGGAGATACAGGTGTCTCAATGGGCAACTTAATCTCTAGACCAAATGCCCACCCTTCTACTAGCTTTTTGAAGTACCTATGTAGTTTCCAAGAGGGCTGTTATCTTTCTCTCTCTCTCTCTTTTAGATTTGTTTATTTGAAAGTCAGAGTTACAGAGAAAGAGAGAGAGAGAGAGAGGTCTTCCATCTGCTGGTTCACTCCTCAAACGGCTGCAATGGCCAGGGCTGCGCAGGCCAAAGCCAAAATCCAAGAGCCTCCTCTGGGTCTCCTACATGGTGCAGGGGCTCCAGCCCTTGGGCCATCTTCCACTGCTTTCCCAGGCACATTAGCAGGTTGTTGGACGAGAAGTGAGTAGCTGGGACTTGAACCAGTGCCCGTATGGGATGCTGGTGCTGCAGGTGGTGGCTTAATCTACACCACAGCGCTGGCCCCACGGGGCTGTTATGACAATTAAACAAATTGGACATAAAGCTTTTACTGCATATTAAGTCACAGGTTTTGGCAGTTACCACTGGAAACTGTGCTGTGTTTAAAATATGTATTCAATATTAATTTACCAGTTCCTTTATAAGTATTGCAGTGATTTCATTTTCTCTGACTTGTGAAGTATTTCAATCATAGTTTCATCAAATATTGAACTGCTTTTTGCCAGGCCGTATATAGATTTCACAGATACTGCAGAGAACAAGGCCATTAGGGTTGCTGCTCTCATAAGTGGCACCCTGAGGGGTGAGGGGTCTCCGAGAGAACAGGTGTGCTAGGGACTCTCCAGGAAGGAGAAGGCCAGGGCAGAAGTAAACAGGACGCAGTAAGGGAGAGCAGTTGAGGGCGTTCCTATATTGGACAGAATGGTTTTTGAAAAAGAGACACTGAAGCTGGGAGGAGAGGAAGGAGCGTGGAGAGGAGCTATGGAGAGAGGGACCAAGCAGGGGAGGAGGAGCACAGAGGCCCTGAGGCTGGGACGGGGTGACTGGAGTTTAGAGGGAGGTAGAGAAAGTTGAGCAGAAAAGCAGCAGCTACATCATGCTGGGACTCGTGGCACAGGAGGAGTTGTGATTTTATTCTACACATCCTGGGAAACTATTGGGAGGCTTTTTTTATTTTACTATTACTATTATTGTTATTTGAGAGAGACACCGTGTGGGAGAGAGAGCACTCCCCTGTTTGCTGGTTCACTCCCCAGATGCACCTAAGAGCTGGGGCTGGGC